CTATAAAGAGTTTTCAGCAGCATTGCTGTATACTAACAGTGTAATAAATACGAGACGCATGACTATTCCCGAAATCTTATTTGACATAATAGTTGTTTGACATAAAATCATTTACCATAAATTTCATTTAAACAAAAAATCTATTTGGTATAAAAACATTTAATTTAAAATTTATTTGACATACATTTCATTAAACATACACTTTTTATTGCACAAATGGCATTTAATATGATAATCATTTGATATATATTCAATTAGACATAAAATTTATATAACATATATGTCATTTGACATAGAATTAATTCAACATATATTTTATTTGATATAAAAATCATTTAGCATAATTTTCATTTAACGTAAAAATACAATTGACTTGAATTTTATTTTACATAAAAATCACTTGACATATATTTTAATTGACATAAGTTTTATTTGACATAAAATTAATTTGAGGTAAAATTTATTTAACATATATACGTCATTTGACAAAATATACATTTAATAAATTTTATTTTGTCCTAAAATTCATTTGTCATAAATTTCATTTGACATAAATGTGATTTAATATAATTCTCATTTAACATAAATTTTATTTTACATAAAGTTCATTTGACATAAAAGACATTTAACATAATTCTCATTTGTCATAAAAGTCATTTGACATAAATTAGATTTGACATAAAAGTTATTCAACAAAATTACATTTTACATAAAAAATATCGGCGCGAATTTTAAAAGTAACCAATTAGATATTATCAACAACATTGTGATTCGATAATTTTGAAATTCTCGCCTACATTTTCATGTCAAATGATCTTTATGTAAAATGAAATCTATGACAACTGAATTTTATGTCAAATGAGAATTATGTGTAATGACTTATCCGTCAAATGAAATTGATATCAAGTGAACTTTATGTCAAATGAGAATTATGTTAAATGGGATTTTTATATCAAATAACTATTTGGTCAAAAAAGATTTCGGGAATAAGCATGCGCCTCATAAATACAATTTTAATGGAATTTCTCGAAAAAAGTTATTATTCTTAAAAATTTTATTAAAAATTATCAAAGAAATTTAATTACTTTAATATAACCTTTGCTACAATTTATTTATTAGAATTTAAGTATTATTTTCAATTAATTTTTAATTCAATTTCTTTAAAGAATAAAATTATTTTCAAAAATTTTAATGCAATTCTTTGCGTAACAATTCTATTTTTTTCAAAATAATTTTGAGAAAATTCTTCGCAGAAATCCAATTATGTTTCAAAATTTACAAAAATTCTCATCAAAATTTCAATTATCTTTATAAATATAATAAAATTTCCAAAATTTTATTAATAATTAATTTCCAAAATTTTAATAAAATATTCTTCTCCGAAATTCAATTATTTTAAAAAGTTTTAGTAAAAATTTTAGCCAAATTTTAATTATTTTCAAAAAGTTTAACAAAATTCTTGTAAAAATTTTAATTACCTTTATAAATAATAAAATTATTATTCTCCAAAGTTCAATTATTTTCAAAAATTTTAATAAAATTCTTCTTTGAAATTCAATGATTTTTAAAAAGTTTAATAAAATTCTCGTCAAAATTTCAATTACCTTTATAAATAATAAAAAAAATGTTCAATTCAATTATTTCCAAAAAGTTTAACATAATTCTTGTCGAAATTTCAATTATCTTTGTAAATAATAAAATTCTTCTCTGAATTTCAATTATTTTCAAAAATTTTAATAAAATTCTTCTTTGAAATTCAATGATTTTTAAAAAGTTTAATAAAATTCTCGTCAAAATTTCAATTACCTTTATAAATAATAAAAAAAATGTTCAATTCAATTATTTCCAAAAAGTTTAACATAATTCTTGTCGAAATTTCAATTATCTTTGTAAATAATAAAATTCTTCTCTGAATTTCAATTATTTTCAAAAAATTTAATAAAATTCTCGGCAAAATTTCATTTATCTTTATAAATAATAAAATTCTTCTTTGAATTTCAATTATTTTCAAAAAGTTTAACAAAATTCTTGTCAGAATTTCAATTATCTTTATAAATAATAAAATTATTATTCTCCAAAGTTCAATTATTTTCAAAAATTTTAATAAAATTCTTCTTTGAAATTCAATGATTTTTAAAAAGTTTAATAAAATTCTCGTCAAAATTTCAATTACCTTTATAAATAATAAAAAAAATGTTCAATTCAATTATTTCCAAAAAGTTTAACATAATTCTTGTCGAAATTTCAATTATCTTTATAAATAATAAAATTATTCTCCAAAGTTCAATTATTTTCAAAAATTTTAATAAAATTCTTCTTTGAAATTCAATGATTTTTAAAAAGTTTAATAAAATTCTCGTCAAAATTTCAATTACCTTTATAAATAATAAAAAAAAATTGAATTCAATTATTTTCAAAAAGTTTAATAAAATTCTCTTAAAAATTTCAATTAACAAAAAAAAAAAAATAATAAAATTACCATCCAAAATTCAATTACTTTTAAAAATTTTAATTACATTTTTGACTAAATTTCAATTATTTTAAAAAAGTTTAATAAAATTTTCATCAAAATTTCAATATTAACTTTATAAATAATAAAATTTTCCAAAATTCAATTATTTTCAAAAAGTTTAATAAAATTCTCGTCAAAATTTCAATTATCTTAAATTATAATTATCTATAAAGATAAATAAATTAAAAAATTTTAATAAAATTCTTCTCCGAAATTCAATTATTTTCAGAAAGTTTAATAAAATTATCTTCAAAATTTCAATTAACTTTATAAATAAAAAAATTATCCTGAGAAATTCAATTATTTTCAAAACTTTTAATAAAATTCTTGGTAGAATTTCAATTATTTTTAATACAATTTTCATCAAATTTCTTGCAAGATGCAATTATTCTTAAAAATTTTATTAAACATTTCTCAAGAGAATTCAATTATTTAAAAATTTGTTGGTAAAATTCTTTATGAAAATTCAATTTTAAGAAATATTCAATTGTTTAATAAAATATTTATTTTCATTGTTAAATAATTGAATTCTTGTATAGAATTTTCTAATAAATATTAATTTAAAAATGAATTTCAGAAATTAAGAGCTTTGAAAATTTGAACTTTTCATACTTTTAATTAAGAATTCTGTAGATTTAATTTTTCTCAAAAAGTTTAATGCAATTGTTTTTTAATTATTTGAAGTTTTAAATTTCTAATATATATTTAATTGAAGAATTGCCGAATAATCGATGAAATTTCGTAAAATTGAATTGTAAACAAAAGAATTTGAAAATTCACAAAGGACTTTTTCAAAAATTATTTTAAAAAATGGACTTAAAGAAGAATTTCAGTTGAAAATTCTAGAAATGAATAATCGTAATGATGAAAATAATTTTTGAAGAAGTTACAGTAACAAAGTAGCAAGTTTTAATTATTATAAAACATGAAGAAAGCGATTACTCCGAGTCGAAGACTCGGAGTGATCGATATCTTCATGTTTTATAATAATATTCTTATATGTTATTGAATTTCAAATTTTTGTATATCTTAATTTTTTATAAAAAAATAATGATTAAATATTTATTTAAAAATGAAGTTATTGACGTTTTCGAATAATTTTCGTTTTAAAAACCTGGAATTCCGTTTTTAAATTCCGTTTTTTAACCTGGAAAACCTGGAAAAGTCATAGGGAATTTGAAAAGAGCAAATAAAGCGTGCACGCTTGGCAACCCTGTTAAAGTGACTACAAAGTTACTTATAAGATTTTGTAAGACTTTTTAAGAAGTACCTTAAGTTCTTACCTTTTTAAGTACCTTAAAAGTGACTACAAAGTTACTTTTAAGAATTTTAAAACTTTTTAAGAAGTATCTTAAAAGTGACTACAAAGATACTTTTAAGATACCTAATTTTTGTAGTGTAAGGATTGAAAATCCAAAAGTACTAGTTGTTCTATCTTTAGAACGTTATTATTTTCATTTCGCAAAGAGTATAGTGCTAAGGTCAACATATAATAATATCAAGAAAAATAGTTAAATGAATATATTAAAATGGTTATCGAAAGAAAATAAATGTTGCGGAATGATATGAAATAAAATTAAAATATATTAAATTATGAAATGAAGAAAAAATAGTTTAAATAGAAATACTGCGCAAAAAAGGTGACCCCACTTGATGTCACATATTGTTTTTATCGTGTGGCGTACTGTATATGCTTTTGCCGAATGAAAATGCTTTGAGTAAAGTGATAATCTTGGCTCTTGTCGCGGACATAAGTTTTTTGGATATTAAGCTGCAGCACGTCGTCGTGGTCGTCGTCGGTGCCTTTGATGAACCCAAACGTTCGCCTAACTCTTGCTATTATATTTAGAGTGTATAGGTGCGTGCGCGTACAATTTCTTGCACATTACGATTAGTATTTAATGCGCACATTGTAAAAGGGCCCTTTCCCGTATCAGATGTTCGGAGGGCCTTAGACCAGTTATTAGGCTCCTGACAGGCCCATAATCCAATACTCTAGTTCGAATAATACAAACTCAAAATATAATGCCTATTAACAGAAATCCATTCACTTGCACATATGTAAGTGAATTTTAGTGGTAGTTGCTTATTTCAAACTTTTACGTGTATATATATATAGCTGTTCTTAGAAAATCAACCTTCAAATATTTATCGCTTCATTCAAAAAGACTATAATTTCCTCTCGAATTTTCTTCTATTTCTTTATATTCTAATATATGGCCATTTTTCTATTCTTTGTATATTCTAAAAAATATTGCTTTTTGCAATCATTTTGTGTAGCAAATTGCACACGTTTTTTTTAACGATACGAATTGCAATCGATAATCGATTTGTTTTCATACATTAACTTAAGGAAATAAATCAATTATTATTAAAAATTTATATATTTACAGTTTTTTGGGTTTTGATATCAAATTTTTTTATTCACTTATTTCTTTATTTATTTGAAAAATATGAAATTCTAAATTCCAATTTTATTCTGTTTTAGAGGAAGTGGCCAAAGAAGAAGAAAAGCTGAATTCAGAAAGTGAGTACAATTTCAAAAATTATATTATTTATCGAATTATTTCATTTCTCAGGGTTTCTACAAATTTCTCCTTATAAAATTCCATGATTTTTCCATAATTCCCAGGTAATAAATGATAAAATTTCCATCACATATTAAAACCAAATTTTTGTCAGTTAAGTCAGGTAAAAGTTATGGAAAAAATTTTTTGTCAGGGAAATTAAGACAATTGAGACTTTTTCGACTTTTCTTCCAAACATTGCAACAAAATACCACAATTTTTAGTAAAAAAAAAAAAAGTGCAACTTATTTTGATTTTTATAATGCGAAAAATAACTTTAAAACAAATCTTTCAAAAATTGTTTTTGAATAGTTAAAATTTTGTAAAATTTAATTGAAAATAATTAATTTATTTCAAGTATTTTGTTACAATTTTTGAAAATCAACTTTTAAAGAATTTTAATTGCAAATTTTGAAAATAATTAAAATATCAAAAATTTTAATGAAAAATCTTTAACCCCTTCACAGTCGAGTGAAAATAAAGTTTTTGTGCCATAAGTGTTCAAAAAAAATTTTTTTTTTTTAAATCATGACATTGTCATATTATATGTTTTTGAGGTCACTGATTCAAAATTCGTAGTCGAAAAGTCAAAATTCAAAATGGCGGCTTCAAAATATCGACCAAAAAAAATTAAAAACTTAACGAATTCGTAAACTTAAAAAAATTTTTTTTGTCGCCTTTTTAAAGCTGCCATTTTAAATTTTGAATTTTTGACCACGGATTTGGAATCAGCGACCTCGAAAATCCCCGAGTAGGCATTTTAAGGCATTTTCAGACAGATTCGTTAACTTAAAAATTTTTTTGGGCGCCATTTTGAATTTTGAATTTTCGACAACGGATTTGGATTCAGCGACCCCGAAAACCCCCAAGTAAGGATTTTTAGCCAGATTCGTTAACTTTTAAATGTCTTTTTTTTCGATGGCCCTATAGAGCCCATGGACATACAGGGCACGACATTTTTATGGCTCTATAGAGCCCACTGACAGTGAAGGGGTTAAAGGTAAATTTAAAAATAAAAATAAGCTTCTAATTTTTTAAAATACAATATTTTCAATATTTTCAATTAACATTTTAGAATTATTTTTAATATTTTGGAAAAAACAATAATATCTTAAAAATTTTTAATTAAAATAAATTCATTAGTTTTCTTAAATTATACAAAAATTCTTTTAAGAAATACAAGTATTTTCGAAAAATTACATTAATAAAATATTTTTAAAAACTAATTATTAGAATTGTTTTGTAATAATTTTTTAAGATTCAAAATTTACTTTCTGGACTTATTACAATTTTTGAGAAATCATGGTCCTGTTTATAATTAAAATTCTTTAAAAATTTGATCATTTTTATTTATACTTTTCAAAAATTCAATTATTTTTGAAAGATTTCACCAAATTTTAATTGTTTGGAAATTTTTCAAAATTAAAAAACTATTATCGTTTAAAAATTATTTATAAATTCTTGTGAAGAATTTTATTAAAATCTAATAGAATAATTGAATTATTTCAAAAAAATTTAATTAAAATTGTTTTTAAAATAATTAATTTCTTTCGAACAATTTTATTAAAATATTTGAAAAATCATTGAATTCCTGAGATAAATTCTATTATTTTTGTAAATAATTGAATTCTTCCAGAGAATTTAATAAAAAAATTTTTTTTAATAATTGATTTTTTCAAGGAATGGAAATTAAATTTTTAAGAATAATTTCATTTTTTGAGCAATTTCTGTAAAATTGTATTAAAAATAATTGAAATCCAGCAATTAATTTTATTATTTATGAAAATAATTGAATAGTTGCTAAGAATTTTATTAAAATGTTTCAAAAAAGTGAATTTCTGTGAAAAAATTTGTTATTTTTGAAAATAATTGAATTCTTTATAAGAATTTTATAAACATTGTTTTAAATAATAATTAATTTTTTCGAAATATAATAAATATTATGAAAATTTTATTTTAAGTAATTGAATTATTGTGGAAATTTCAGTTTGAGAAAATAATTGAATTTTTCGATTAATTAATTTAAAATAGTATTACCATTTATTGAAATTCTTCGATGAGTTTTATATTATTTATGAATATAATTGAATTCTTGGTTAGAGTTTTATCAAACATTTTTTTAAATAATTGTATTTCCATGAAAAATGTTATTATTAGGTAGTGAAAATAATTGAATTATTGCACTGAAAAAAAATTTGATTCAAATAACCGATTAATTGACTATTATCAATTAAATATTTACTTGAATCGAATAATATTTATTGGAGTCAAGTAAATGGTATTTGAACCAATAATTTTAGTATTTGAAGCAAATACCATTTAATTGACTCCAATAAATATTATTTGATTCAAGTAAATATTTAATTGATAATAGTCAATTAATCGGTTATTTGAATAAATTAATTTTTTTTTTGTCTGGAGAGTCACAATTATTATAAAAAATTGAGTTTATGCATTTAAATAATTGAATTCTAAAATAACTTTTGGAAAATTATTTAAATTAATTGATTCAGAGATAAAGTTTAGTTGAAAATTGTAGAAAATAATTAAATTCAGGAAGGGTTATAATTGTAATTTTTATAAATTATTAAAATTCATAAATTTTACTCATGAAATCCAATGATAATTTCATGATTTCCAGGTTTTCCATGACTTGTAGAAACCCTGATTTCTTATTGAATGTTGAAAAATATCGACTCCAAAAATAAAAATTATTCGATTCGAATAAACGATTACTTGTCTATTATCAAATAAATATTTATTTACATCAAATAATTTTTATAAAGCAACTAAATGGTATTTTCTTCAAATACTGAAATTATTGCTTCAAATTCTGAAATTATTGGTTGAAATACAATTTATTTGATTTAAATGAAAATTTAAGTAAATTTAGTATAAGTAAAGTTCAAATACTAAAATTTTTGGTTTAATTTCTAAAGTTACTTATTGGTTGAAATACAATTTTTTGATTTAAGTGAAAATTTTAAGTTAATCAAATAAATAAGTAAAGAAAAGTAAATATTTATTTGATAAGAGAAAAGTTTTATCGGTTATATTTGAATTAATTAAATTTCATATTATTTCACATTGTGACACTTTTTTACAAAAAAGATATTTGGATTTACTGATTACCCTCGCAATTTATTGTTCAATACTTTTGAAGTACTTTCCGAAAAGTTTCGCGAAAAGAAAGTGAGAATTAGTAAACAAATTTTTAAACGCTCTAAAAAGCGCTGTGAAGAGAATTTTTAAATTCGTTTATAGTCTCTCAATGGTTTCATTTTTGCGAATTGCACAATTCCCTGCGTATAAATTCAAGTTGAATGGTTCAGTTTTGAAATATGAATATTTTCAGATTTATATATACATATATATAGTAAATGTATGAATATATACACACAATATAAGAGCGTTAGACGACTCACTTGCTTTCGACTAACCATCCTTAAATTTCCAGACTTCTGAATCTATTGTAATAAAGCAAAAGCTGCCCCAAATATTGTGTAACACATTTTTGTTCATTTGAGCATAAAAATTTTGAGAGGTTATTATATTTATAAAATGAATACAGTTTATATGAAAGCATCTGCGTTTAAAATATTCGTTTGTGAAAATGTTGGAATTTTTTTCGTTTGCAAAGGTATATTTTATAGTATATATATGATTGATTTTCATCATTTTGGAAAAAATGGAAAAAGTTAAGCTATATTCTGTGGATGGTTTAATTGAGCGGTTTTTTCTTCTTGAAATCATCTCACTAAACTTTTGTTAAAACTGAAAATATATAAATTCGTTACAGGTTTTTTTATAATATATAAAAAAAGTCTTTTTATTTGTCGAGAAAACAGTTTTTATGGAGTTTAAAAAATTGTTTTTTATTCGCAAATCTCTATATATATATATTTGAAGTACGTTTGGCATGGTCTTTATTTTAAAACAAGAATTGTGAAATAGGCAATTATTTTTCAAACTTCGATTAATTAAAATTAAACTTGACGACCAATAAAACTCGTTTAAGACACTTAACAAAACTCACCAAAATTCCATTCCAAATTTTTATTTTCCTGACTTTTTCCTAATTTTTATCAAAGTACTTCTTTCTTATTCTGCTAATAAATTGAATTCCTGCAACGAATTTTATATTATTCGTGAAAGAATTTAAATATTTATAAAATTAATTTAATTCTTGCGAATAATTTTATAAAAAATTTTAAATAATTGATTTCTTTCGACTAATTTTATACAAATTCTAATTTCAATAATCGAATTCTTGAGAAATTTTTATTATTCATGAAAAGAATTGAATTCTTACGAAGATTTTTACAACAAATTTTTTAAATAAATTAAATTCTGTTTGTAAATTTTATAAAAATAGTTGATATTGAAAATCATTGAATTGCGAAAAGTTTTTAAAAATAATTAAATTTTACAAAGAATTCTATTAAAATTTTTGAGAATAATTGAATGTCTGTGTGATATTTTATTAAATTCTTTTGAAAATAATTGAATTTCTATTAAAAAACATTTTACTATTTATGGAAATAATTGAATTCTTGCGAAAGATTTTAAAGGAATTTTTTAAAATAATTGAATTTCCAAGAAGAAATTTATTACTTTTAAAAATAATTCAATTCTTTTGATGAATATTGTTCTTTATGAAAATAATTGAATTTTGCAAAGAATTATGTTATTTATCAACATAATTGAATTCTTTCGAAGAATTATTTATGTAAATAATTGAATTCTTGGGAAGAATTTTATTAAAATTCTAAGATTTTTGTAAATAATTGAATTCTTCAAGAGAATTTTAAAAAAATATTATTTTAAATAATTGATTTTCTCGAGGAATGAAAATTAAATTTTTAAGAATAATTTCATTTTTTGAGCAATTTCTGTAAAATTGTATTAAAATTAATTGAAATCCAGCGATGAATTTTATTATTTATGAAAATAATTGAAT